ACACAATAGCAAGGTGGAAGTACAGTCCTCCTTGATACACGCATCTGGCTACAGTTTATGGGAGATTCACTTGCCAGTAGCAGCAAATAATTGATTTACTATCTCAGTAAGCTGTGATTGTGTTTGAAATAATTTCCAAAGACTTGAAACTACACTGTGTCTGACATCAATAAAAATGGAAAAAACAAAAACTCCCTAGCAAGATCTGTTATAGTTTGCCCTTTTTCAGTCTTGCCAATAATATGACCACATGTAAAATCATCAAAGCGATGTCAAAAAACATACCGAAAATTGCAAGTGTGTCATTGTAAAATTTTGCTTCAAACAACAACACTGACTATGCATCAAATCCTTTATATCTCTTATCCATGTCATCACCTGACGAACAACTTTACCAATCCAAATTTGCATTATGCACAACACGTCTTACTGCATCCCGCACTTACAATAATTTCCACATTTTCCTGCCTTCCATTTTGTAGTTGCTATCACTGCTACTGTTATCCATCCTCAGCAATTGTCCACCAGTGTATATATATATATATATATGTATGATGTACCAGCTTTTGTCGTAGCTTAAATTATCAGACGATAAGTTTAAAAAACTGGATCCATTTATTATTATTCAGGAGAAATAGCAGTTACAAAATCAATATCCTGAGTAAATAATAGAATTACTAATAACTTTTTGTATGAAGTTTACTGCATCGTGACATTTAAGAAAAGCCCGATATCTTTTGCGAGTCCTTTTACAGCCTCTGGAAAGGCGGAGCTTCCAAGAAATGACGTCAGCCTCGTCAGCCAATCCAGTTCGCTTTAAATATTTCCAGAACATTCATAACTGTACATGTAGAAAAGGCGGGAAAACAAACTTGACTACGGGGCTGTGGATTTAATTCACATACTTTCAAATAAGAGACCATCGCCATTAAAATGAAAAGAACATACAGTTAGAATTTTAAGTGTATTCTTGACTATGGAATTTTATTATTACAAATATTCCCCCCATCTGAAAAGGCTTGGAGCCGGGCACCTCGACCACAAGACATTCCAAATAGAAAAAATATTTAAATAATTGCTTAATTTGTTTGAAGAACTCGCATCCGAATTCGAGTTACAATAATATTAATCTAAATAGACACTCTCACTATAACACAGTCAATAATAATATCAAAATATAATTAGTAAATAATATATCTTAATATATTGACATTTATAGAAAACAAGAAAAAACATTATGCATGCAGTATTGGGAAAACATTTCTCGAGAACAGTTTTCAGTTCGGATCCAGGTCTTTAGAAATTGCTGCAAAACATTAGAGCAGTTCGTATTTTACAAATCTTTCATTTCCAGTTCGCCGTGGCTTTAATATTAAAAATTTCTATTGAGGTGAGGTATTCCTCTATTTTTTTCTTCAATATCATTGACAATTGCAATACTTGACTAATTCTTAACATTTCCTTTTGACTTTTATTTTGTTTACAGTATTTCATTTTGATTACTTATTCATATAAAACACTTATTTTGATAATAATCATTTTACACAATAATTTTACTCGTATTTTACCTTTTACTATCGACAATGACAATTATGTCATATACTGCATTGTCGTTCAATGTTAATTTTACTTACATCATATTTATTTTTGGAAAACACATTCTTATATTTATTTAACAATTTAATTAATTCAGGGTTTTCTTCCTCGATACTCTCTGAATCTGTTGTTATTTTATTACTTTTTTTTTTTTTTTTTACATTGCTTTTAATATTTACATTAACTCTTGTTACCTTAGACATCTTATCATCATTAAACTTCACAATATTAGACTTATTACCTTCATTAACTATATATATACCTTTAGACACATTATTTTCATTAGATATATTATTTCATCAACACTTATTACTCAGAGATATTACTTCTAGGTTTTGTCTTAACTGATGGCATTACATTACTGTTTTCTTCAAGTACTTGATAAAGTTGTACATGCAAAGAAACTCTGTTATTTACATTCACAGAATTTGAAATGTTTTCATTTCTTTGAGTTATCACTAAATTACTTACAATCAATTTTTAATTCAAATAATGTACATTCATTTAAACCCAAAAGAACTAAATCTAAATTAGTATCTAACACTAACAAGTTAATTAGTTTAATAATATTTCCAATTTTCATTTGCAATCTACACATTTTATCAATAGAAAAATTTCCTTTAGTTTGCCTATTTTAATACCTTTTACCTTTGAATTTTTAATTGTAAATTGTTTGCAGATTTTTTCTGAGATGATAGACAATGTCGCGCCAGTGTCCACGACACAGTCGACTGATCTGCCATGGGATAAAAATCCCTTAATTCTTTGTCAAATTCCCAAAGAATCAGACATCGAATTTTTGTTTTCCTGCAGACAATATTCAAATCATGAGGTTCTAACTATGAGACGTGCTCAAAATGCGACAACAAAGCACTATCACAATTCACAATTCTTCAATTGCGAAAAAAAAAAAAAACACACAGCATAAATGATTGAAATTCTTCAGCTTCTTTCCAGCAGACGATAACCAAATCATGCGGTTCTAACTATGAGACGCGCTCAAAATTCGAAGACAAAGCTGTATCACAATTCACAATTCTTCAGTTGTAAAAAAACAGACTCAACTTGCAGTTAAAAAGTTCTTTCTCTTCCATTGGATCTTTGGGTACACCTATCCTGCCGACTCCTTGTCATGTACCAGCTTTTGTCGTAGCTTAAATTATCAGATGATAAGTTTAAAAAACAGGATCCATTTATTATTATTCAGGAGAAATAGCAGTTACAAAATCAGATATCCTGAGTAAATAAATAGAATTACTAATAACTTTTTGTATGAAGTTTACTGCATCGTGACATTTAAGAAAAAGCCCCGATATTCTTTTGTGAATCCTTTTACAGCCTCTGGAAAGGCGGAGCTTCCAAGAAATGACGTCAGCCTCGTCAGCCAATCCAGTTTGCTTTAAATATTTCCAGAACATTCTATAACTGTACATGTAGAAAAGGCGGGAAAAACAACTTGACTATGGGGCTGTCGATTTAATTCCACGTACTTTCAAATAAGAGACCATCGCCATTAAAATAAAGAATACAGTTAGAATTTTAAGTGTATTCTTAACTATGGAATTTTATTATTACATATATATATATATATAATCATTTATTTACATATACGAAGAAGAGTGAGAATGATTACTTTCCATGGAGCATAAAATATAGCATGAATTGCTGATAATTAGATTCTGCGGAAAAACACAAAAAATAGCTCAGCTAGCTTCACACTTACAAACTAATTGTTCACACAAAATTCAACATTCTGGTAAATGCACCAAGTGATTAAGCTAGCTAAATCTAGCCTAAAAGTTGAAAATCACTAACAATAAAAAACTCGAATAAAATCAAATGCAAACATATGTTAAATATGCTTTTCTTATTTGTCAGCCTTTTGAGAACATAAGAATATAGTAATCCTCTTAAAACAGTAAAAAACATTCCATATTTAGTTAATGCTAATAAATGAGATAAAAAACACCACTTTACAGGTTACAGCAATAAGTCACTTGTATCATGGTGGAAAACACTTCTATCATTTATAAATTATCCAACCAGAAATTATAATTGGAAATAAATGCTACAACATACATTTTGTTAAAACAATTCCAATAATTAACAGCATATGTTATTTAATAAACAAAAAACTGATTCAGCAATCTCAATTGCTTTTTGGACATGTGATTTTTATATGCAATTCCATTAACTGTCGCTAAACAAGTCTCCTGCAACATGATATACCACCATCGTTAATAAGCATGATTCCTACTGCAGACAATATATTTGATGCACCAGTGATATGTTATCTTGATTGGACGGACTGGTGCAAGTGCTATAGACATTTAGAGATACTTGTTCAGAGATATGTCTCCTCATGTAAATAGGCCTTAAGTTTATTACAATGGTGTGTAAATACACAGTACTTTCAACTTAGGTACTACCAGAACATCAGGTATGTGGTTACAGAACAAAACTTTGATTTAGTGCATTTTCTCTGTACGTCTTAAAGTTGATCGAATTTACCAATTTTGACCCATAAATTTGATAAAATGAGTTGGCCACAAATTGAGACTTATCAACGTGCATTTAGATTCCATTCTGGCCATATTTATTTATATTTGCTGCATATTTACTTTGCTTCAGCCATATTTTCAGGACATCTTTTTTTTTGCCCATTTTAACCCTTTGTCATATGTCTACACCACCAAAATATTTTTGCTGTTCCAGTCATATGTCTGCTCTGAGCTACCACAGCAAAGAACCATAGTGATCTGATATTATATTACATCAACAAGATTTATAATCTTGCATATTATGTATTACTGCTCATCCAACAAAAATTAATTTTGATGAGCATGATACCTATGTATAAACTTAACACAACCACAAAGCATTAATGCTTTTATTTCATTTATAGAAAATGAATATTTCAGATATGATAAGCACATAATTGTTTTACTATATAGTAAATGGTATATGGTTAATAGTATTATTACAGTATAGTCTGCGATTAACAACTGAAACATTCTTACAATTCTTTGAAACAACAGTTGAAGTAAAAACTATGCTTTACTCTTTAAAGCATGTCACATGGGCATTCTTAATGAGCTAAGAACTAAAATATGTAAGAGTTATTTAGTGAAAAATATATAATACATAAAGGTGATGCACATTTCTTTATGTTTCCATGTGAATGCCACAGGAAATGATTTCTTTTAATTTGCAGGGAAATGATATATCAAATGACATGTTTGCATGCAAATCACTTCAATGAAAATAATATACAATAGATACAGAAATTTAAGAGCTATTATGAAAATTGAATACAGTGGCCACTCGTTCACAGAAACTTTTGTGCGTGGTGAAATGATTACGTACAGTATATACAAGATGTGAAAATTATAATTAAATGCAAAGTCATTTAAAGAAATTTATTGCATACACAAACAACTAGTCATTTAGAATTCATCACATTCTGTAATTTAAAATCATAACAGATTCCCATTTGACAAGATTCAAGTAACAAAAACAAAGTTGAATCTGAAATGAAAAATACATATATACATTAAATGTCAAATATCTGTACACAACAAATAAATTAAATATATCAGTAAAAGAGGGTTGGAAAAAAAAATACAGAAGATGTGGATTCAAGTGTTTTAATTACTGTATAAAATGTAAACAGGTTAAAAAAAAAACTTTCAAACAAGTTACACATAAATTTAATTACTCTTCTAAAAAAATCAAAAAATGAGTATAAATTAAATACAGATCAAACTGCATTTCTTTCATGAGTGTTTAACAATTTTACATTTTAAATCTATGTGACATAAAAAAAAATTATATGATTTATACAATCATTTAAGCATGAGTCATCACTTATCTATCAAAAATCATGGCTATATTTCTAATATCTTTAACCCTTTGACTACAAATTTTTAACAAAATTACCCTGTTTTCTATCCAAAGGAACAAAATATGTCACAAATGAGATAAATTTAGCATCCCATAAATTTTTTTGATGGGATTTTTTTGACGGTTTTCAAGCCAAATGTCTGGAAAACATATTTCCCAGCCATAGTTAATGGTGAGATACATATGTCTCACACATGGCAATCGACTTACTATAAGCACACCTATTATTCTGGAAATCTTTATTATGTGAAATAGATTTACATTGTATTGTATGGTACAGGGTAAAAAGCATTCTTTACATAACCCAAAATTACACATTGGGCAACTCATATTTGTTCTTTTCTCCACGTTCATTTGTTAACAACTACCACAGCAGCGTCTTCATTTTCCAACTATTGGAAGATGATCCCCAACAGAGATTCTAAGTACTTTTTAAGCCAGCAGTAATTTATAAACTTTTAGTGAAACATATAAGTCAAAGGGGTAACCAACCAATATCCAAGATGAGATTTAATTTTCAATTTCAACTGTTTTTAGCCAAAATGAACCACATATTGAATTTAATTGAAGATAATCAATTCAGTACAACAGATAAATTTTTAATATATAAATGACTTTAATGCAAATATGATTGCATTACTTTCTTTAAATTAAACCATCATAAAAGACTGTTTTTAATTAATAGATTTTCTTTTTATAATTCTTATCTGTACTGAAAAAAGTAAGCTCTTATTTTTTGGAGATAAAAAATAACCATTCTTTCTTGTAAACTTCCTAAAAATATATATGCAAAAATGCACACATTACCATTTGGCTTAACAGCAGCAGATTTTTAACACAAATTTTAAGAACCTATGATTAAAGACATTGCTTACCTGCTTAGTGCCTGTGGTAAGCTGGATATAATAGGGCCATAACCCTGTGCATTATCATAGAGTTCAAACAAAGGAGCAGCCACTAATTTATAGTTTTTTGGAACTGCAAAAAGAGCTGAAATTTTCCAGACATTTATTTGAATGCTGCTACATTCAATAAAATAAAAAATAACAAAAGAATAAATACTGAAAGTCAATATATAATTATGGTTATTATATATAAAAGTAAAATTTAAAAACGGAAAAATAACAACAAATAAAATTCAACAAAAACAATACATTACAGGGCGAAAATAACAGTCTTATATACTAATCATACATTTATCAAATCAAGGTATAAGATAGGGCTCTGGAGTCTGTAGAAAAAATGAATAACTCCTTCATATATATGTAAACATACACACATGGGTTACAGCTTATTTTTTTAATATAAAAGTGTAGTAGATGCTACAGAAAAAAAAAAAAAAATTCATGGGATAGAAATTATTTATATTAATTAGCATTTATTATGAAATGGAAAAACTAGCATTAGTAATTTCTAAGAAACAGTATAGCTTCGGCAAGATCTATGTTAGAGGCCCATAGACCCGATTTGATAAACTTCAGAGCTGAGAAGCTCTTCTTTTAACTTTTCTTAACTTTCTTTTGTTATGGATATCATCAAATATGTACCTCCCCATCGCATTGCTTGATCAATAATTGCTCCTTTTCCTGATAGCTTCCTAAAAATGGCATCAATTGTTGCTGCTATTGCTGCTTACCTTAAATTTACCAATGAGATTTGTAATTATTGGGTTGGCAACTAAGTAATTGCAGATTTTTTTTAGAAAATCAAAGACAATTTTTTCATGGAACTAAATAACTTTATTCTGTATTGTCCATTTTGAACATTGACCTTTTGCCATCTTTCAGGCAGCATCATAATCCCACGTTCATAAAACTTCTGGTTTTTATTAGCAAAAAACTGAATCAGGTACAAAACTTGACATTTCATCATTATTGAAATTTTTACCATTCAAGGCGTTTTGTAAAGATCGAAACAAAAAGTAATCAGATGGTGCAAGGTCAAGGACTATATGGTGGATGTGGCAAAACATCCCAACCAAGCTCCAATAATTTTTTGCCTAATGACCAAAGATGTGTGCGACCTTGTATTGTCATGATAGAATACAATACCTTTCCGATTTGTCAATTCGAGGCCGCTTTTCTTTTCTTCAACTGCATTGTTTAATTTCGTTAGTTGTTCAATGAGACAGAATTGATCATTCGGTTGGGTGGTAAGAGATCAAAGTAGACAATTCCTTTGTAATCCCAACCAAACTGATAATAAAACCTTCTTTTGATGAATATCAGCTTTTGGTTTTGTTTGAGTTGGTTCACCTAGCCTGCTCCACGATCTTTTTTCCGCTTGATATTGTTGTAAACAACCCATTTTTCATCGCAAATTATCAGTCGTTTTAAAAATGGATCATTTTCATTACGTTTCTTTAGTTCTTTCTTTAGGGATCATTTTCATTACGCAAATGGCAGCTGTTAATGCGTTGCGTTAAATGCGTTTTTTTCTGTTCGTGAGGAACCCATGTATCGAGTTTTTGAACATAGCCAAGTAGTTTTAACTGATTTTCAATGCATGTATGTGATACATGGAGCTTCTCTGCAATCTCAAGTGTTGTACTGTGATGATCCGAATCAATTATTGCTTTGATTAGGTCGTCATCAACTTCAACTGGACAACCAGAGCATTTTTATCTTTGAGTGAAAAACCACCAGAACGAAATTTGGCAAACCAATTTTGACACTGCCTTTCTTTTAAGGCTTCGTCACCATAAACAGCACATAACTTTTTATGAGCTTGCGATGCGTTTTTCCCTTTGCAGAAATAAAAAAGCAAAATATGACGAAAATGTTCCTTTTGATTTTCCATTTTTCAACGAACGCCAAACGAAAACTATGCAACCGATCAAAAGAACTTTTTTTACTGATTGACAGCTGAATTGCCAACTATCAAATAACAAAATGTGTTTTACATTCGTACTACGTCTGCAACCCTAAAAATTCAACTGAAGCCGTCTATGAGTGAAATCCGCAATTACTTAGTTGCCAACCCAATACATGAAGTAACTAAATGAATCAGTTTAATCAATAACTGCAAATATCACATCCATCCTCTTTCCTTATAATTATTGATTAATGTCAATAAAATAGAAGATAACTATTTATTAATGTATATAGACCACAAATGAAACTAATAACTCAGTTTGTCATTAATTTTTTTTTTCAATTCACTTTAATTTCATTTCGAATGAAGCTGTCCAACAAAACCTGGAGTCGGAGTTGACGTGTTTTTAGCGACTTCAGCTCCGACTCCTTTTACCCAAAAATCTGCCTAACTGCGACTCCACAGCCCTGGTATAAGACTAGTCTTTATCTACTGGAAATCACACAAAAATTTGCAAATTTTATTTTTGTGAATAAAATTATCAGAGAACAAAAGCAGTTTTTCTTTAAATGCTAGATATATTAAACAACACAAACCAGGTAATTTCCAAATCCAGTAACAAATCCAGTAAATCCAGTAACAAATCCAGTAAACAAAATTGAAAGAGAAATGCGGCAATGTAAAATTTTAAATTAAACAAAAAAGCAACTTTACTTTGGCAAAGATTTTGAATAATCATGGACAATCAGACAACAAACTTTTTCAGGAGCAAAAGAAAAAATTGCTAAATGTTCTTGCACCTGAAGAAAAAAGACCTACGAATCGCCCTTGAAATAAATAGAGTTTCATTCAAAATTTACACTAAACTGAGGCTAAACTGCTTAGTTGTAAGCTCAGTACCCTTTATTATAAATAAGTTACATAGTGTTACGAATTTGGTATTTAAAAAGCTAATGTTAGTTCAATTATAAATTAAATGGTTTTATTTCTCGCGCAGTGCAGCGCGTGACGAATATTAAAAGAAAGCTAAGCCAGAAAATTGAAAATACAAGAGCGCGTGCATTAAATAAATAAATATCTCTTTTTGATTTCGAGAAAGTACTGGAAAATTCGAGCGTGTGATTTTAAAATGTTATAAAAGGAGGAAAACATCTCAGTTTGTAGTAGTTGCTTAGTTTAAGACACAATAACACGCCGAATAAATACTAATTCAGAAGTCAAACAACAAAAATCAGCGTTATACCTACAAAATTTTCAAAGGACTAGTTTCGATGGTTTTACCGAACCATCATCTTCAGCTGCAAAACCGCAAATGAACAAGATAGGCCTATCTTGTTGCTTAGTTTGTTGTTGTTTAGAAAACTACTGTTGTTGATTGTAGCGAACGGATTAGCGTTCTTTAGCTGTTTTGAATTACGTTCTATTGGACATTTGAGTAGTTAAAAGAAAACTACTGTGAGATATTGTAATACTGCGTGATAATTTGAGAAAATTTAAGCATTTTTGTTGTGATAATAATAAATTTTTGTTCATTTTTTCATCGCACTTGTGCATTCATTTCATAACGAACCCGTACGCACGCAACAATATATTGCATTTTAAGTGAAACAATTCGAAAAAAAAATTAAGACTATTGTTTAAGTATTATCTGATCAAAGGTAATTACCAAAATGCCTAAAAATTCCTACCCTAAATTCACATTAAAACAACAATTTGTTAACTTTGTACTCATTTATAACTTTATAAAAAGATAAATTCATACAAATAATAAGCTGAATGCAAAGGCTATTTTTTACACTTCTTCTATTTTTTAATACAGTTGGTATTTCATTTTTCATTTAATTATACAAGCAAATAATTTAAAACTAAAAAATATTCAGAGGAAAATTCAAAAATATCTTCAATAAATATTATTAATGAAGAATGCAGTTATTTTATAATAAAATACTTTACAAATGTTTTGGAATGAAATATATAAAAGGGATGTTATTTTTGCACAAACAATCAAGATAATCACAATGTTGCTGTGCATCAGATGTAAGAATAGTACAATTGCTCAAAAATTATTCAAAATCTCTCTCTACGATTAGAAATTCAATATATTTCATCCTTCTAAATTAATAAAAGTTGAGATGTACAGGGCCTGCTTACAACAAAATAGAGCGAGAACTCTTTTGATATCCTAGTACCCAGTTATTGGCCTTCGAATCTTTTCAAACCTTATTTTTTTCAGCAGCTAATAAGAAAAACCACAACTAGCTAGCTTCCAGAGTAACAAGGCCCCATCTTAAAAAAAAGGTAGTTTATTTACTGCTGAACAATACAGAAACTACCATCATTAGGTTGGTTTGAAAAAATATTTTCAAACCAACTATTTTATGTGAGTCTCAACTATGCTGCTGCTCAAGTTCTCTAGCAAACACTTTTATTTTTTAATGCCATTTATAACTTAGTTTCTCAGTTCCTAATGATTCATTCATCCATTACTTACAATATGTTCTTTGGTTTGAATATTGATTTAATTTCTATAACGAAGTGAACTTATTAGGATGATACAAAATTGTTTATGAAAATTACAAAAATAAACAGAAGAATGCATGGATGACAGATAGTGATAACAGATAATGTTATAAAGCCTTGGAGTTAACTGTTTATAATGCAAAATATAAGAAGCATTGTTAAATCATCCGTTAAAGGTAAACTACTCAATCTTAAAATACGCTAATGTTTGTTAAAGGAAAACTACTCAATCTTAAAATACGCTAATGTTTGTTAAAGGTAAACTACTCAATTTTAAAATATGCTAATGTTTGTGAAGAAATTTATTCCACATGTTACTGATAATGGTAAAAATAAATGATCAAATTTAAAAGAAGAAAAAAAAAAAGGAATGTTGGAAATCAGTATTTTTGTGTGTTCGGCATGCTGAGAGATGAGAGCCTGTACAGATTGTGGCATTGAATCATACAAGTTCTGAATGTAATCCTGGAATAGGGCATTCTAAATGACTTTCACTTGACACCAAAGTGAATCTTAGTGTGTGCCCCACCAGCTGTACGAGTGAGTCACAGACTGATGAAGTCCCAGATATATTCAATGAGTGACATATCCGTGGAATAAGCAGGCCATGGAAGAAGTGAAACCTGTTGTGTCCTAAACTGCTTGCGCAGTCTGAGAAGCATGTGCACAGGCATAATCCTGTTGAAATACAGTGCCCAGAATGCCTTGAAAAATGGTGAGAACCTCTTCTCTACAACTTCCCTCATGTAGTAATCACTGCTGAGGTTGCTCAGAATCTGCACTAGACAATTATACCCAATAGCTTCCTACATCATGAGGTCAGGTATTTGTGCAGTACGACACTAGATAATATAATGTGGAAGTAGACGTTCCCCTCTGTAATGTCTGACACATACTGTTCCATCACTATTCTCCAGATTGTAGTGAGATTCATCGGAGAAAACCACTTGTTTCCACAGGGCACGCCACACACTGTGTTGCTGTGCCCGTTGAAGTCGGAAGCATCTATGATTCAGCAACAGGGGAACAATGCATAAAGGAATCCTTGCACGCAGTTCATGCTGCAGCAGATGGCAACAAGCCATGGAGCTCAACACCTGTAGCCATATTGACCACTAATTAAACATTCAGCATAGACAGAGGGAGATAAACAGATTTCAAAGCAACTTTACAGTCCTTTATATACATGAAACAAGCAGCCTGTTCTCATTGCATGCATGCGCAGTGGCTTTGTAATTCTAACCATTTGCCTGTCTTACCTCAATTTACATTTCCTGCAAATTTGGTTTAATTTTCATAATTCCTTCCAACGTGTTTTGGTTTTTACAAACATTAGTGTATCTCAAGCTATTAAACTTGTTTTCATATTGATCCTTGCTGAAACACAAAAGTAAAATAAATAAAAACAAACAGCACTGGTGCTCTTTTACTGACTTCATACCTTTCATCCTAGCCCTGACTTTATTAGATTTTTATTAAATTGACTTTATTAGATTATTTAGATTTTTATAAAAGCATACCAAAAACACATTTCAGTTATGGCTTTGAATGTTTAATTGAAAAGCAATTTTTGAGGTGATCCATTTCGAGTAATTTCGCTTTATTACTGCCTTCTTGATTAGATCGTAATCTGCTGCATGTTAAAATTTAAAAATATATAAATAAATAAAAAAGATAGAAAACTCTGACAAGAAAAAAATATTTTCAAACCAACTATTTTATGTGAGTCTCAACTATGCTGCTGCTCAAGTTCTCTAGCAAACACTTTTATTTTTTAATGTCATTTATAACTTAGTTTCTCAGTTCCTAATGATTCATTCATCCATTACTTACAATGTGTTCTTTGGTTTGAATATTGATTTAATTTCTATAACGAAGTGAACTTATTCTCCAGCTTAAACTGATGAAAAATGCTGGCAAATTCTTAAGAGTATTGTTGTGTGTGTACAGGTTCGTAATAAATTGAAGGCAAAAGTCCAATGAAAAGGGAATAAAATTTATTTTTATCACAAATAAAAAAATACTTAAATTTCCTCAGATATTTGTACAATACTGCAATATCTCACAGTAGTTGTCTTTTAAACTACCAAAACGTTGAACAGATCTAATTTAAAATAGAGAAAGCTAATCCTATTTCACCGCGAATTCGCTACAGTAAACAACAACAGTTTTCTAAACAATACTGTACTGAGATGTTTTGATCCCACTTTTATAAGCTTTTTAAATGTGCACATGAATATTCTGGTATTTTCTCAATTTTTTCCACAAAAAGCAAAAGTGTACAATTATGAGATATTTATTTATTAAATGGACGTGCTCCTCCATTTTTATTTTTTTGGCATAGCTTGCTTCCTCTTCAAATAAGTCTTGTGTTGTATTTTTCTATTAACTAGTTGCCTGTACAACAAGCCGCCTATAATAGTTACATATAACAATTTTAATGTTCCAGTAGCATAATTTCATGGGTCCAACTAATAATTACAAAGATGAAGAACTCCACGTTATTAGTTTTAAATTCCTTAGTTTGTTAATCATTAGAAGATGGACTAAATTTACGAGAAAAATTAGAAATTTTATGCTTTGTTGAACAGCAACACGCAAGTGTTTAAAACAAAAATATTTTATTTCTAACATATCTTTTTTAAATCCCTGAGTTTCTGATTATATTTGAAACATAAATATCTTGTGCTTTGCTGAGTGGCAACACACTGCTTTAAAACCACTGATTTTGTTAATCAAGGCATATAGTTGCTAATTTTGTTAATCAAAATATCATCAAGTTCATACAAAGCATAAAAGTAAATTTTAAAAAATTTCAAAATTCTTCCTTCAAAGTGCATATGTTCAGGTGAAAGACCATGTGTCCAAAACTTGGTGGTTCTAGATGTCACCATTTTACCACAATGCAATGAACATACATGCATACAGATTCTTCATTATTTAATCATCAGATTATAATAATATTGGCTATTTATTCTTCTTCCTAGAATTTTCTCTAACTGTCTTTGTATTAACTATGATTTTGCATTGATCATGCATGCCATCCATAGTATTACCCAGTTAATAAGAGGTCTACTGTACTAAGAAACTTTAGAAATAATAGATCAGTAATAAGATCCATTATGCTGCATCAAGTCTGGAGGGTCATTTGGGGATGACAAATTTAGATTCAGTGTTAATTAAAATGAAATGGCTATTACTATTTAGATAGGTAAAAATACTTTTATTTAACTGAATACACAGTAACTTTTTAGTCACTCCAATATGTAATAACATATCAAAAGAGTTTTGTCAGTCTTGCTGCTGACATATATTGCAATATTAACAAATTCATTCTTTCAATTTAAAAAAAAACACTTCATTTTTCAATGTATTCTTTAATTAATCTTAAAACCTTTAATAATATCGTTCTACAGTGTAGTTTCATACCCTCTTGTTAAAAATAAAATTTTCCACGGGTTGGATAAATAAGCTTAAAATGATACTTAGCAACTCTGCAATACTGTAGCAAAAATATAATACAAAATAGGAGGGAGGGCAGATATACAGTGCTGCTTACAGAAACAAGAAAATAAAAACATTTAAAATGCTTTTTAATCTTACCTTTTTCCGGCAGTTGTACCAAATATAATTTTTTGTGTTCTTTTGGCTTAGTGATGTGAGGGGGCACATAAGGATACTAAGGGGGGGAAAATATAATTCTAAGTGACAAAGAAATCATATAAAAACAAGCAACAAAATTTAACATCTAAATACATTTGTGCTCATATATATACACGTAAGATAAAAAATATGAAAGCAAACTTCTAAATTTAATCCACTATAACCTCTTTTATTTTTTATTTCATTTGGGAACTTCATCTATCTGTCCTAAAAATAGTGTAGGTCTAAACTGCGTCATTCAAATTAATCATGCGATCTTTAAGTAACCCTTAGTGCAGATGTCTCTTGACCAATCACCAAATTGTAAACAAAAACTAAAAAACTGAAACTTTTGACTCCCTCCCTTTTTTCTATGAACTTATGCATCACTTTTCCTTGTGCTTTCTTTCCTCTTGGCCAGACGTTTTTCTGCAATCGTGTGTGCTGCTACTTTCGCTTTTATGGCAATAATATCAAAATTGTAAATGTTCTTTAATATGCACGAGTAGAGTGCCAAGTGAATTGCAGCCACAAAATGAGAATTTAAATAAAAAAGGAATTTAATCCGGCTCGACTGTTTTTTCTTCAAAATGAATGGAAGCTCTAAGCATCAAGTATCTACACAATTATATTTCTACGCATCTATGTCTCAGCACTCGTATTTCAGTGCTTCCAAAATTTGTACTATCATTACAATAAAATGGTGTAGCCGGTTTTCAACCGTAGGCATGGAACTTCCACTGCAGTTTATGACAATTAATCTCGCATCGTTTAACTAATGGATAAAATAAAAAAAGAAAATATTCATCTGAATTCCCAATCAGGCCAAGGCACTGTAACATCGAAATATGGTGTGTGAAATATGAAAGTGATTTAATAGCATCATCAAAAGTGGTATTGAAGTGTAATTAGTTTCTTTGGTTTTAAATTTATTCTTCAAAGTTGTTTCCATCCGCAAAATTAAGTGCCGATATTCCAAAAATGTGTTTTGATGTTGCGTGATAATAACGTTTTTTGAGTTTTTCTTCAACTGCATCATTATAAATAACTTGCTCCTCAATACTGGAAGTGTGATGTTTTCTTACAAAATGATTTTAATTTGACGAATATAAAAAAATGTGGCACTGCTTAGAATACTTATCCATTTTGATATTTTGCAAAAGCAAAATATCAAAATGGATAAGTATTCTAAGATTTTATTCAGGGAAGATTTTTAAATTTTATAGTTATTAGTAAGTATAAGTATAGTTTTATGCGAAACATTTTGAATTAATGTTAAGAATTTTGGAATTATTTTGTAAATAAGATTATTATTGTTTAAAATTTTGAGTTTTATAATTATTTTGAGAATGTCTATATGAAATATAAATGAAATAATTATTAAATGGGAGAATATCAAATACTGTTAAAATATGTAAATACCAAAGATTTAAGAAAATTGAATTATAGTAATAAAATTTATATCAGAATTTAATTAAGAGTAAAATACATTAAATTTGTTTGGAATTAGGATAAGCGAATGTTATAATTATCAATAACTGTATGTTAAATATGAACTACAATGAGGGAGTACTGGTTCAGAAACAGAGGCCTGTTTTACCTCTGCATAATTGTTCCTTTTACCCTCCTCGTATAATAGAAACTTTGAAGGCTCCCACTTTATTTAATTTTTTATATAGAATTTTTACGTTTTCATGTAATGAAGTGAGATTTTTTTTAATATAATGGAATGTTGTAACGCAATTCACTAACCACTCATGAAAATTTAAAACGTGAGTCTATTTAAAGTGGATCTGCCCAAATAGCTGGATGTATGTACTAGTAGCCCAAATAGCTACTAGGAGAAAGCTGTGGGGTCTTCTAGGTTGTGTAAAATACGAAAATTGTAAAATGTAGTAATTACAAGTAAAAACCATAACTTCAATCATGCTTTTCAAATGATAAGTATTACTTATAAATGTGAAAATTAGTATTGTCATACCTGCCAACCTCTAAAGATAAAAATTCAGAAGTTTTCTCCCCCAAATTCAGAAGATTTTCAAATTCAGAAGAACACAAGAATTAATATCATGCTTTGATATTAAAAAAAATAACAATTTATACAAATAGAAAAAAGAAAATTGTACTTACATTAGTAAATCTCAATTAAGTAGTAACTAAAAAAATTTATTAGGAAACATAAAACAAAACTTAATGTTACCAAAAAAAAATATTGCAATGAATTTAGAGTGCATTTTTGGCTTTAGCCAATAATTCTTTTGAAAATTTCCTGTCATAACAATTAGTTTCCTCATAACATTTAGCAATTTAAAATGTTTCTAGAGTTTTTGGTGAAATGGAAGAACGAAAACATAGTTTTATTTTTTTCACAACACTGAAGACACTTCGCATCAGCATTACTGTGTGGATTATGAGAATAGCACATAAACTCTTGCTAGGCATCATATTTAGGTTCCATCAGCTCTTTTATTCTTTTAAGGTAACAACGAGGACCTCATCTATCTTCTCCCAGAACTGGCAAAGTCTCAAAACTGTCAGCATAAATTGGTTCTGTAGTCATCTAAAGTATCATTATGGCATTCATTTTCTTTAACGTTAACAAAAATGGAAATTCATCAATAAAAAAACGAATCTTTTCAAAAGATGAATTTCAATTTGTTTCAAATTGCCAGTTCTGCATTTAAAAGAATTCATTTTGCAAAGGAAACTTCCTTCAAGTAATCACAGGCTGAGGAAAAGTACTTTCTAACACTTGAAAAATTCTTTTTCTCATGATCTTCAAGAATTACAGTTCCCGGTTTGATTTCCAATTATAAGATCATTGCCATCCGTTTGATTTGCCAAACTATTATAGGCAATATAAAACAACACATGTTTTTCACAACGGACGGCTTTACAAACTTAGTTAAAAGTTCTTTCAAAAGATCATTAAGAATTTGGATACACAGGGCAGATTTTGGCGAAGCTGATTGTAGAAGGGTATTTAAACTTTCAAAAATCTTAATGGTACTTAACACAAATCTGCAATATGCTTTGTTCAAATCCGAAGAAAGAACATAGAAAATCCTTTCCTCTCGGCTAATAGAACTGTTTCTTTTCCCTTCAACTTCTTAACAAAGTTGACCTTTGAGGAGTCTTCTAAGCATTTTCTTTTAAAGGGTTGATTCTGTGTGTTGGCTTTTCCCTTTTAAAGCATTTTTGATTAGAAGCAAAGTTGGTTTTCGGAATCTTATATGGACAAATTGATGGGGATCTGGTTTCGTTTGGTCTCTTCGTGGAAATATTTTAGCAATGCATCCCACTGTTAATACCTTCCCTAGCGCTCTGCTAAGTGCATACATGTTAGTGCATACATTTTCAGAATTTTTCTCGTTTCACCGAGCCAGTTCTTGGAATTCTTAGGTTTCTTTCCTTTTTACACTTTTTTCCAGATAGAAAAAACATCAATCAGAGCGTCAATATTTAATGTAAGCGCTGCAGCTTTTTCTGCTGCCAAATTAATTGGTGGCATGGGCATCAATACATGAATTCATTTTGTTCTTTTTTGAGGAAAGAGGACACCCTTTTTGTCACCCACATGACATGAGCATTATATGCACCAAATGAAATGCAGTTTGATATTGGGATGTTAAGTTGTTTCAACTCATAATTACCAAGGAGGCAATATTTCCCCCTTAGCGTCCATTTAACAATGGAGACGCAAAAGATGAGTTTCATTTATTAGAAACATCACAGAAATATGCGACAACGATGGGGTAAGCTTCCAATCTTCGTTGCTGCCATCGATTGACACGAAATGTGAATTCTGAGTGAGCTTAGTTTTACTTGTGCATCGCAAGCAATTCGTTCACAATAGAAGATGTTTTCGTGCGACACAAGCATATTTTGAGATCTTGGAGTCGGGAAACATCCGTCTGAAAAGTTGACTGGCGTGATCGCAGCGCTTAGCGGCGTTGTGTTATGAGGAATGCAATAACAAACACTCTGCCCAAAATGACATCGGCATCCGATAATAATAAAAAGCGATAGACCTGTAATTACTGTGCTTAAGCTGCCTTAGGCAATCGAAGGATTCAGCGTACCCAGAATGTACACCAAACCTAGAAACTCAACCAGATGGGAAGACCTCACTGCACTGGATACCTACACATGTTGGAATCAGGAAAGAGGCAGCCGAGAATAGCAAGTCAAGAAATCTCAGAACTCAACCCTGTCACTCCTGAAGAGGCTATGCCATTTCCAGATAAGACTCAAAGAGAATCTATTAGAAAGACATCTGGGTTTGATTAACTGAGAATTACAAAGATGTTGCTACAAAGATTGAGAATTAGCCATTTTAGAGGAATGAAAATTAATGAAGATGGTACCAGATCATATAGAACTTGTAGAAACTGCCCTAAAATGGAGCTTTCTCTAGAACACATCTTTACCTGTCTGGCAATACTTGCAGCTCTGCAAAGCTTGAGGAAATTTCCTTTCCAGGGAAAGCTGTATAGTAAAAAGATTGTGGAACTGGCAAAAGCTGTGATTTTCACGCATGGATCCATTTGATTTCTCAAAGGACAAGACACCAACCAACCAATATGAATTTTACATCACCATGTTTTCATTATACTTTACTTTCTAAAGAATTTTACAAATGCATACTAAACACAGATTAACACATATAATACAAAAAAAAATCTAATAATCCTAAGTTAAAAAATTAAACCAGAATAATAAAATCTTAGTACTTAATGTGAGGAATAAATTAAAAGAAACGATGACAGGTAATTTTAAAAAAAGAAATTTAAAATAATTGCATCTTATTCATTTTTTCTTACTTGTGGAGGTTCAAAATTAGGTCTCCACCAATTTCCAACAGTGTCTTCAATGACCCATTCTTGATTAACACCATCCTGACGACCTAATGTCTGAAAAATTAATATATTAATTTTAATTCAAGACGCATTTATACATTTTTATAATATTTTTACTACATACAATAATTCACCCATTAAATAATTTAAGCATCAGATAATTTTCTTCCACAATAAACAGGAATGAAAAGATATATTTTATAATTAAATATGATGTATTAAATTAAAAGTATTAACTATTAACTGTCAAGAAAATTTGGATTATTTAAGATCTTCCACATGCCTTATTATAAGTTCTCAGACAATATATCACATTCAACTTGTAGTTTGTTACATAATAAAGTCACAGATCCAAACTATAGGCTACATTACAGCAATGAGTCAAAAGCCAATTTTTTACTGATTATTAAAAGTTTCAAAGGCTTTGTTGTTTTGTTATGCAAAACATATTGTTTTTAGAAAAACAAGAAAAAATCTGATCGTGTGTTCCCCCCCCCAATCCTCTTACTTAATTTATTTTAATTTGGTTATGTCATTTTACTGTAGGACTCTTCCTCTTTTTTCAGAGCAACTCTAGGCATATATGGGTCATCATAAACTCTTTAAAAACCCTTTAAAAAATTAGGATCATGTGTTATCTCAAGTAATTATATTTTCATTAGTATTTTATTACAGATAATCATAAAATACTATTACAGAAAATTATATCAAAAAACATTCCTAAAAGTGTTTACTTAATTCACAGATTACAAGTTTGTTGTTTTCATCAAAAATCTCCATTTTCTTTTCCTCTACTGCAGCGAGACAGGCTGTTGGTATGCGTGGCGCGTTTCCCAATCCAACTCGACTTGGGGAATCCCCTCATCAGATCACTTGTCTTGTCGTGAATTTTAATTATTAATATGTGTTTTAAGTTATCATTATTCCAGTTTTTTTGTTTGTTTTTTGTTGTTGTTTTGTTTGTTTGTTTAAGTTGTTAAGGGTTTATTTAACTCGTTATTCTTGAGTAGAAAGCGTAACAAAGGCGAGAGACGGTTGCGATGAAACACATCTGGTTTATGGCTTTTTTTACTAACAATGCAGGCAATAGGGTGTTGTGTTGTCGGCTTTTACTAATGCAATTTGTAATGAAAATCGTCTTCTTTTCGCTTTGTTATAGTTGCAAATTTGTTTACTTCAGGACAGTGGGGGTTGTTGTAAGCTTAGGTAATTAGATTCTCGTAAAGCTTAGTTTCCGCTTGTTAGTTGGGAGGTCCACTTTAGTTCCCACATTTTCCTGAGTACAGATGTTAGCTCTTGTGAGATTTTTTCTTGTTTTTGAGTCATGGGGGGGGGGTGTTTTCTCAGTCTAGATAAAGTAAAATTCTGGCATTGGTAAGATTTAATTTGATGATTTTTTGTAGGCCTATGAACTTACAGAGGCAGAGAAACCGAGATTTCCAGGGAGGTTTGCACCTTGTTAGAGTCATTCGGATTCTGATTTTTGAAGAAGGAGGGAAAAGTAGGGGCTTGACCCTTTCGGGTCTTGCTCTCGCGAGTGGCGTGTACCAGCAGGTTACGGCTATGGATTCCTGGCATTGAGAAGATTAGAAATTACATTGAGAAAAAAAGGCACTAGAGCTCATCACAAAATTTAAAGCATCGTCGTTTCTCCATTATAATTTTCGAGAATTGTAAATAGGTATTCTCAAGCTGATGCACATACCAGTGGGTTTCTTGTTTATCGTGCCTAGTGCATTTCTAGTTTGGGTCCTTTCAAGGCATTTTTTGTTCCTGATTTAAAAGAAGCGTCCCGACACCTGCGTTTTTCTTGGGTGTTGATTTTATTGATCCGTCAACTTTTAAATCAGGAGCAGTCTGATAAAGACTGCTCCTGATTTAAAAGAAGCATCCCGATACTTGTGTTTTTCTTGGGTCTTGATTTTACTGAAGCATTCTTGATTAAGAATTTTCCTGATTTAAAAGAAAGCTGGACTATCTGTTGAACTATCAAAAACTCTGTATTAATCAGTCGATGATGGCATTCCCTTTTTTTGAAGGCTCAACGAAATGCGCTGGACGATCTGTTGATATATTTAAAACTCTGTATTTATCCGTCAATGATGGCACACGCAAGAAAATGGGAGTGTGATGTATAAACTTCACCCTGTGATATATTTTTTTTTTTTTTTTTTTTTTTTTTTTTGTCTTTTCTACTAAAACTGTAACCGAGTAACGATAGTTATATTAACATACGTGTAAATGAAGTGAACAGAAGAACTAAGTAATGAGTAGTTATATTAATGTACTTGCAAACGACATGATTGAAGATTTAAAGAATGACAAGTTATTTAAATATACCTGTAAACGAATGATTAGAAAATTGATACAACAACCTAAATTGCGAGTTGTGGATTTTTAAAAAAAAAATTAGTACACCTACTCTTAACATGAGAGTAATGTTTATAATGATATACATGTTAATTTACATCTTAAAGTTAATTTTGTAGAGAAGTGATCAGTTTACCTAATTATCATATGTTTGAATATTCAAGAAAATTAATAAATGTGTTTGTGTTATAATTTTATTGCATTTTTTTATCTTGTATATATATATATATATATATATATTGGGAGGGTCTGTCAGGTCACTCCAGAGCAGGAGTTTTAAGAAACATGGAGTTTTATTGAATTTGTGTTACTGATTTTCTTTTTACTTAGGTTTTCTCACAACGCGAACCAAAAATTTAACTTGTACTGCCACTATATGATTGTTCTTTTGTTATATGATGACTTTTTTTTTTTTTTTTTTTTTTTTTTTTTGTCTGGCACCATGAGTAAGTTGAGAAAGTATTAAAACACTATAAATTTCAATTTAAGTTCAAAGTCATAAAATCTTAAAAACCCATCAAATTTTCAGATATTTAACACACTCAAAGTTTTTTTCCTACATATCTGTGTGCTTGTGAGTTAACTGTTTTTTGTTTTTAATGAGAAGATAATTATTTCATGATGCCTCCCAATAAGAATGTTGCCTCAGATAGTGCTGTAAAGGAAAAGAAGGAAACCATGGTCATACAAATTAAGAAAGAAATCATAGATAAATATAATAATATAAGCATGGTCTCAGTCACGAAATTATTGAAGACTTACGCCCATTCCGACATCAACAATCTGCACTATTCTGAAGAAGGAAGAAATTAAGAAACTTAATGTGGCGAAAGAAGTTACCGTTACATCCAAGCAACGTCCAAAACTCCTAGAAGATGTTGAGAAGCTGTTGTTGGTATAGATAAACGAAAAGCAGATGAAAGGCTATTTGGTGCCGGAAGCTATTATTTGCGCTAAAGCTAAGAATCTGTACTTGGACCTTGTCCGAAAAACACCAGGTACGTCAAATGAAGATTAGATGGCAATGAGATTTTTGGGGTGCGGATCAGATTAAATGGATTTCCATTATTTTCAATCAGGAAGTTTGTTTCTAGATACAAGAAATTCGCTATACGAGCTTAATGTTAGAACAAATTAAACTCGTATCTTGAGGTTCCACTGTAATTACAAAATCATAATATATACGAGGGCTATCCAGAAAGTAGATTACGTTTTGGAATAAAAAAATAAACAAAGTATAGGAAACAAATTTTATTATATACAGATGAAAGCACACTCAAAATACTACTTTTTACATAGTCACCATACAAATTAAGGCATTTATCGTAGCGATTACGAGCTTGAAATTCCTTCGTCGAAAAATTCGGGCCCTGCCTTCAACCACTTCGTTACCTCTTCTTGAGCTGTGCGTCGTCATCAAACGCATGATTGCAATTTTGTTTCACAGTCACATGTTTCACCAGTTTGTCACCAGTAACGATGCGATCGAGTAAGAGTCACATCCTTATGGTAAGCGTCCAAAAAGTTCAAACGCTTGCAGCCATTCGTGATTTTTGTGGTCCTCTGTCAAGATTTTGGAATCCATCTTGCACAAACTGTGGGTAACAAGCTTTTCGATGTTCGTGCAACAAACTTCGCGAAATTTGTGGAAAACTCAAAGAAGTTCGTTATTGTGAAATTTCGATTTTCACGGACTTTTAGATCGAATTTTTCGAGAAGTTCGGCGGGTCACTATGTGGGTCTCCCACTTCGATCTTCGTCGTGAACATTGGTTCGGCCATTTTGAAATTTTAGACCCACTGACGCACTCCACCTTCAGTGATAATGTTTGTCCCCATACACTTCACGAAGCTGCGATAGATTTATCGGTTTACAGTTTTTTGCAGTAGAAACCTTTACTGAGCGCACCTCGCAGCTCGCGGGATTTTCAATTAACGCAGACATTTCAAACCGTCACAGTATCTGAACGGAGCACAGCACGACCTCTCACTAGCACGGCTAGATGCAGACGGAGCTGCGCAACGCTCTGACCCCAGATGGCCGCGCTAGCCCCGCCCCTAGCGGACACAGACGGAAACGTAATCTACTTCCTGGATGGCCCTCGTATTTCTTGATTATTACTTCTCATTTTCTGCTACAAATCTTCTTCAGTTATCCATTTTTTCCCCTCAAATTTGCATGTATACAGATAACAAAGTTATAAAGTTTGGGAAATAACTTAATATTACAGTTAACAATCAGAAAAATTACTGCCCCACTCCTCAGAAATGCAGCTAGTAATAGCACTAATGTATCTATTACCTCTGTCATCAGTCTTTTTAATCCATCTAGTTCATCTTCTCCAGCTTCCAATTCACCTCCAGGTCTAGTTGAAATAAAAGAAAAATTAATATTCTATTTAAAACGCATAAATATTATGGAACAGTACATTTTCTTATTTAGAATAGATTATTCAGAATCTTATCTTTAATAAATAAGTATTAATATTATAAATACTTTGAAAAATTAAACTTTGGTAAGTACATTACGTTCAACATCATTCAATTTTCTGCTTTTAAATTAAAACTAACCCTAAAAGAGGAAAAAACTCTGGTACTTTTATCTAGCATCGTAATTTTTGGTACCATTTTAGATTATTACTTGAGCTCTTATAGATGTTAAAATTAGCATTTAATAACCTTTTTTTTTTTCCTTTATTTTACACGAAAATATATTTAAAAAATTGCTTATGCAAAATAATTTTTGGAAGCGCTAGTCAAATTATTCCAATGTTTATATTGATAAGACTCATTAATAAAGTTTAAAATTAATAAAACAATGCAATAAAAACTATTTACAGTAAGAAGTAACAGAGGTGAAATGCAAAATTTTTTAAATATTAAGAAATGTATCTCTAAACAAAACTCTGTTGAAAAATGAAGTAGAGAATATTTCATTTGTAGTGAAACTTTTCAAATTAAGCTTCTTGATAATGCCTATCAGTATTATCATTGCAAAAAATACTTTTATATTCTCAGCATTTACATCGGTGTTCTAGTAAATATATAAGGATGGAATTCCTCAAGCGCGAGGAGAGTTCAAGATGAAGTATCTCGAGTTGCACTTTTACGGGAAGTTAAAGCAGACATTCACTGAGCTCTGTCTCTGACAAAATGTCTGTAGCATAATCACTAGAAGTACGTATCACTTTCTTCAGAAAATGAATCATCACTCTCATCTGTGCCAATAAATGGTTCATTTACCATACAAGTGTATTCTTCCTCTGATAAATAGCGCATTCGCACCATAATAGACTGAAGTTGTAGCTTTCTGAAATAAAAAGGGAAGGACCTGAAATATATCTGAAGGCGACGCAAAATTTAACAGAGCTCCACGATAACTTTAGATCTACACCCACCACTGCACGTGGCTCTCAGGATTCTTCAAAGAACACAAAATCTTCAAATACAACATAAAAAAATAAATGTCACCAAAATTATTAGATGCATTTTTTGATATACAGTAAACTCTCGCTACAATAACTCCCTCTACTACAATAATGTTTTGTGGTCCCGGTCATTTTGCATATAAACTAATGTTAATCTCCCCTCAATATTGCTATATTCTCTAGAACAATAAACCTCTGTAAAACGATTTTTTCAATCTAAATTTCAGTATTATTTTCTCCCTTTATAATAATATTTTCAAATGCTTTTTTTTTTTTTTTTTTTTTTTTTTTGTTATTTTTTCCGTCTATTAAGACTCATTGTGGATATTCAACTTATCCCTGAATAAATAGCTATTGTTCAGATTTCAAACAGATGAAGACCACCCTTTTGGGAATTGGAGTGGGTGAGGGGGGGGTGGTGAAAATGTCTGTCTACGGTAAGAACAGCTCCCGCTACAGTGTCTGGAGGGTGGCGGTTGCTATAGCAACAGGGCTAGTATATTTCAAATAGGACGAACCAAGGCTTGCTTTATTGTTATTTTGTTTTTGGCGACTGTTGGCTTAAGGGAAGTTTATCATTCGTCTTCTCGGCTTCATTCCAGCTGCACGCATCTTTTCTTAAGCCTTATATTATTATTAGCTATTTTTATTCTCGTTGTTATATCTTTTGTACTAGGTATTTGCTTCAAATTCGCTTCTATTTAGCTTGATTTTCGTAGTGCTTTGTTAATCGCCAATTTTTAAAATGCCCTTCCAGTTTAAGAAAGGTCAACCTTTAAAGTCTCAGGCACGTCAAATCGTGTATAATGTCGCAGAATTTTGCGCTTCTGAAGCTTCGGCGAACTCTTTAGTAGTTCCTCTTCCTTAAGTTTGGTGTTAGTGTATTTAATTATGGCAAAGCTCACTAGGCTATCTGCCTAAGGGAAGGGATGCCTTCGTGGAGGACTCAAGGGAAACTGGCTCGTATACAATTACAATGGGGAAAACCACGAAACACCCATGCAGCACCCATTCGCGGGATTCGAACCTCGGACCGAACTACCAGTGTTCAGCAACTCCGCTCGGCCTGGTGGGCTACCTTAAGTTTTGAAGAGCGAAGTATCAACAATGGGTGAAAATAAAACTTCTGAATACACTTGGAAAGAAATGTAAAAGCCCTGCTAATCATAAGTGTGAAACTTGACGATTTTGACAAATGCGTTCGTTCTACGGCAGACAATACAAGACTTTTACATCAAAGAAAAGAAAGTGCCATCTGTGCGGAAATTACTGCCTGTCTTGAGGCAAAAAATAGACTTCCCGTGGCAAAAAGACTCTTTGTGCAAAGTTTTGTGTTCAATGAATTTTCGTTGGAATGCGTAGAAAAAAAAAAAAAAAAAAAAAAATCTTATCGAAAGACCTCACATTGTATTTTGGAGGAACAATTATTTACGCGAAATGAGAAAACTCAGAGCAAGTGAACGCCACATCGTTTACATCGATGAAACATGGATTGACAGCAATTTAACTTTTAAGAAATGTTGGCAACATGATACGGTTTTGGGCGCACACAGCCAGTTTCCCTTAGCAAGCCCTCCATGAAGGCATCCCTCCTCTTAGGCATTTAACCCTGGAGGCTTTCCGTAATCATATAAACCAACCCAAACCACTGGTAATTAAGGAAAAAGCAGTTTTGATTTTAATTCACCTTCGCTTCCTTCCGCCATTAAATTAACCAGCTTTTGGTTTAGTTTAAAGGTATGGGAAAAGAAGAAATGTTCGCAAAAAGTATTTATTGAGAGCATGGGTATGTAAAAAATGCTTTTACTTTCAAGATGATTCCATATACATTTAATGATGAAATTTTTAATCATTATTAAAGCACAAGCAATAAATTAACAGAAAATTTTGAAATAAAAAAAAACATAGCAGAACGTCATTTAAAGACTGAAGAAATTGCTTTGAATGTTCACGGTAGATCAGCTAGAGGGGAGAACTATAAAAATTAAATTTATTTTATATTTATGAAGTGCGTCTATACTATATTACAGAGAATGGGGCAATCAAGTAGATTTCTAAGATGTCATCTATGATTTTGCAAGCAACAAAAATAAACAAAAAAGAAGCAAAATAATAGCATGATTTTTTTTAAATGTCAAAATTAAATTTTTTCTTCAAAAATAAACACGGATTTTTAAATTTATTTCCCTACAAGTTTATTTTTTACTCATTGTACATCTAGAGGGATGGCAAATTCAGCGACTTGTACCTCACACGGCAAAATCAAAGACCGTTTCTTGACTGCAAAAGCTTTATCTACGCCATCGAATTTTCATTTTCGGAAATTGGATGTCGGGGTCGACGCAAAGGGTCAACGAGCATTTTACTTGAAACTAAAACAAAATGTGAATATCGCCAAATCATCTTTAAATGCGCCAAGGTGGCAAACTCAGAAGTAAGTCTTCAAGACACCCCTACGAAAAATGGGTTAGGGCTCGTTTCTACGGCAACAGACAGCTGCAGACAAACTGGCGAGAGCTGTTCTTACCATAGACAGACAGTAATCAGTTCGCTATGCCAATGAGCTCTTGAAGAAAGGGCTGACGGATTGCGGTCAAAAAGTGCCTTACCAGGAGGTAACGCATTTCAATATTGCTACTGTTGAAGACTTTTCTAAAAAGGGGCACAAAATGGCGAAAGGTCGAACTTGCTAGGTTGGCCAGAAAGTTCAGGAAAAGGGAAATTTGTAATTTGTTAATAAAAAGTCGTCATTTTTCACGTAATTCCTGGCCGAAATACTTTGTCAATATTTTTAAAATTGTTGTACGTGACTGAAACAAAGTCATCAGAGGTAACTTGTTCTGAACTTGAAAAGAAAGTTAGAAATTTTTCTTTCATTGCATTTCAGTTATCAATTTCAACATATTCGTGGGCCCAGCGTTTTAAGAAATCTAGAAGTAAAGCTAATTTTTCTTTTCCAGAAAGACTTTGTACAGCCTCGTTTTTCAAAAAACATCAAATACCGACCCACTGGAATATATTTTGTGGAATCGAATACTGGACAGGTAAATTTTTCTTTGTCTACAGAAACAATTTCGGATTTTTCTTCGGATAGTTTTAAAGTCTTGGTATTGTCTGCATATACAATTTTGTCGAAAATCAACAAATTCTTCATTAAAACATGAGCTATGTTATGGAAATTATTAAAATTTTATGGTATCAAAAGATTTAATGATTCATAATTATGTTTAATTTATAAGGTATTTCTCTCGCCTTCTTAGCATGCCTTCGTGATGTAGTGGTCAGCACGTTCGGTGCGTGATCGAGAGGTCCGTGGTTTGAGTCCCGGCGACGGCATTGTTCATTTTTCCCGTCTCCTGCTTCGAAACAACCTAATGTCTCTACAAATTAAAATAAGCAACGAATTTGATTTGCAATTATTTTATTTAGAAAAGGTTATTAAAAACTAAAGAAAAGGTATTAATAAGAAATGAGATTATTGTTTAAAACATTTTAATTTAAAGAATTTTGAATCATTTTTAAAGATTGAGGTAAATGTAAAGAATGATGTAATTTTAGATATTAGCCCAGAAAATGGATACGGAAATTGTGTTTTTGAGTATAATAGAGAAAATATTTAATATTTTGATAGTGAATATTGTTATCATAAATACATAAATAATAAAAATTTAAGAAATTGAATAATTGTAATAAATTTCGTATGACTAATGTAATTAAAATGAAAGAACTAATTTGAAATTATGGTAAATGAATGTTATAATTAATTGTGTTATTATATTAATTGTGTAATGTATAATTGATAAATAATTGTACGTTAACATGTTGAATGAATACTGGTTCGAAAATAGAGTCTTGTTTTTAGATCTATGTAATTGTTCCTTATACCTTCTTCAAACAATATAAACTTTCACGACTTCCAGCTTTTATTTTTATTTTCA